AATAGACTCAGGGTATATTAAAACTATCCCGATATTATCAACCCTCGCATATATCAACATAATTGCCCAATCCAAATAGGTTGATATTAACGAGGGTCAAGTGTATATAGTATAAAAAAATCTCTTTATAAGCATACTTTAGTAAAATTCTTTTTATAATTATACAAATTTTTTTCTTGAAAGGTTTAATTATAAAAAGTTAGACTAGCACTTCTAGGTCTGGTTTGGATCTGGTCCGGTTAGTGTTTCAACCCGAGTATACCCGGGTGGGTCGGGTATCCGGGTTGTGATTATGATTACCCGGGTAGACTTGGACGGGTCAACCCGCAGGTCGACCCATGGGTTGACCCTGGGTTAACCTGTGGGTTAAAGCATAGAGGGCTTTAATTCCAATTGGTCAAACATTAAATGTGTATCGTTACATATCACTAAACCGAATACATATTCAGAAACTACACTTCTCACATTATATACAGTAAAAATAATTTAGAAAACAGAGAAGTAATTTGAAAATTAGCTATGGGGTATACTTTTGTCATATAAGCTAAAGCAATTCAGTAATCGGCGAGATAAATTACACTTCAGCTAATAAGTGTTACTATTTTTTTTTTAACTTATTAATTTACAAATAACGATTCAAACAATATTGCTAATAGTTGTTTTTTTTTTAATATTTTTTCTGAGTATAGATTATTCGATCAAGTTTTAAGAGTTATAGCATATTAAATATAGACTAGTATAGAACATGTATGATTATGCGCTATGTTTCTGTAGTTAATTTTTGGTTTTTTATACATGCTGTTTATACACTCTATGAGCGTATATTCTACCTATTAATAATTGAAGGTTCTATAATTTATTATATATTATTTTGGTAAATTATTTCTGTACGTACTAGTTAGCAAGCGATTTAGTCAATAAAGATATAACTCAAGTTATAATTCCAAACAACCAAGTTTTTATTAATATTTGACGAAGCTGCATTTTAAAATTATAATCAACAAGTCATAGATACATAACATAACATGCTGCCAACCGGTAAAATGAGATACCCCTTTGACTTGAATTTCATGATAGCATCGATTGATCAGCATATATGAATCACATCTAAGCGAATAAAAAAAAAAAAATATTACTATCACTGAAGATTAAAAATATTTATTTATTTATTTATTTTATTCTTTAAGCATCATTAAATTATACTTAGCTTAGAATAATTTGTTTGCAAATTGGCTGTCTTATGTCTATCTCTTTCACCAAATATTCTGTTAGCCTATATAGTATAAATGCGAAAGTTAAATATCTTGTATATACTTCATTATAGAAAATTCCATTCACACATGAATTTATTTACTTTACCTCTGTATTCATATTAATCAGCCAATAACATCTAGGTAGCTTATTAATCGATGTTTATATGTCAGTAATGACTATAAGATTCTGAACTAATGCAGTAATGCAAAGCAAAAAATTCAAAAGGAAGTTAAAACAATAATAAATAATCAAGCACCATTATTGAAATCTCCTTTTTTTAGTACCATTTATATAGTAATAGATGTGGCAGTGTGATGGATTAAAAGATAAATATAAAAATCATATAATGTGCTACGTACATACAAAGGTATGAAGACAAAAAAGGAAATTAAATAAATATATCTAAGCTATACCTGAAAAGTGAATAATTATATACAACATTTGTTTTAGTTATAGGATAATGGGCATGAGTTGATGAAAATCGTACATAAAGGAAATGAGAGATAAAAAAGGGAAATGATACAAATTAATAGATTATAGCCATCCCAAAAAGTGAATAATTATGCAGAACATCGATTTTGGTTATAAGGTAATGGCATAGTTTAAGCAATTTACAAATTAATATGTGTAAAATTACAGAATCGCTATAAGAAAAATAAAATATCATAGAAATTTTTTCATATGAAAAAAGAAATGATGATAAGAAACTTACTGACATAATAAAACCAAAATATAATCTTGGAGAACCTTTTGGGTCTCATTAATGACTAGCGCAGTTTAAGCAGCTTGCAAATTAAGGAAAAACTTATTGCTGTAAAGATGAAAGCTTTTGTCCTTGTATATGATATGTTTGAGCTTTAGAGAATTAATGTATAAATATTTGTGTAATGAAAATTATGTATATAAGAAACGTTTTCTTGCCTTGATAAAATAATTCTACATTAGTATTTGAGCAGTTTCTTAATATTCTAAGTTATACTTGTTCAAGACTAAATAATAAAGTTATATATTAGTAATCTATCCCATTATTATAAAATCCAGTATAAGAAAAAAAAACCTCCAAATCTAAATATTTGATCCAAACCTAATCATGAATAGTGATAATGAATATGATGAACCTGTTTATGATGAACTCATTTATGATGAACCCGTTAATGATGAACCCGTTAATGATGAAACCGTTAATGATGAAAATGATGATGTCCAAGAAATTAATGAACCTCCTAATATATTTGCTGTGAGAAAAACCCCAAGAGAATCTGCAGATGAATCAAGTTCAAAAAAAGTTAAAGTAAATATTAATAAATCGGCTAATTCTATATCCAAAAAGTTTTACGTTTGGGATTACTTTAAAAATAAAAATGATCGTGACTATTGCAAGATATTAGTTTTTTGAGCGGGTGTAGAAGTTGAATGTGGAACAATTATAAGCATGATGGTGGAACAGGGAATATGAAACAACATCTTTTAATAAAGCATGAAATTTTATCACCAGATGATGAACCACATGCAAATTCAAATCAAAAACGTCAGATGCGCCTCGACGAGATGATAAAAAAAGTAACCCCACATCGTGTATCCAAACAAGCTGTATTAAAAAGGGTTACAACTGAATGGCTAGTTACTGATTCTCTGCCATTTCATATTGTCAACGGAAAAGGGTATCGAAAAATGATTAATCGCCTTGACCCTGTATTCATACCATCTAGTTATAAAACCATTAGAACAGACCTTATTACTGTTTACCAAAAAGGAGTAGTAGAACTTAAGGAATTAATTTCTAGTATCTGTGAAACTGCCTCCATAACAACAGATTTATGGACTTCCTGCAATAACGAAGGATATATTGGAGTAACACTTCATTGGTTAACTTCAAACTTTGAGGTACGCGATATAATGTTGGTCATTGAACGCATGGAGTATTCCTATACAAGTGAAAGAATAAAAGACTATCTACATGATAAAATAAAGGAATATGGATTATCTGAAAAAATATTCTGTGTGGTAACAGACAATGGAGCAAATATGAAAAAGGCGGTTAGAATTTAGAATAGTGTAGATTACATTTCTTGTGCTGTATATACAATTCAACTCACCGTAAACTAAGCCTTAGAAGTTATTAAACCATATACTAAACAAGTTCACTGACTTGTTAAATTTTTCCGGTCATCAAAACAATCTCAGCATCTTAATCAAGCACAATCTCAATGCAATAATAATAATAATAATAATATAAAGCCAATTCAATTATTTGATTATAACGATTTACCTGAAATATTATTAGAAAATAACGAGAGTTTAGAAGTTCCTGAGGTAACAGAATTGAAGATTTTATGCACTATTAATGATACAAAAACTCGGTGGAACTCAACTTATCAGTCATGAAAACGACTTCTAACTTTGCGTAATGCAATTGAATAGCTCTCTGCTACCCTACATTTACAAAATGATTGTGATGCTAAAGAAGATTCTCGTAAGTTAAAACACCTTATACCTAAAGAAAATGAGTGGGAGTTATTAGAGGAAATAGTAAAAATACTTGAACCGTTTGATGACTTTACAACCTATTTTAGTGGGATCAAATATCCCACTCTTTCGGTTGTAAGCACAAGCATCGAAGCATTAAAGCTTAATTTTGCTGATGGCATTGACTATGATTTATATGAAATTGAAAAGGCCCTTAATGATGATAATAATGGTATGAATAGTATATTTAAAATGGTTCAACCAAATTTATATAAGTAAAAATAATAAAATTTTTTTTGTTAGTTCCAGATAAAATATCTGACGATACTTATGATAGCGATGAAAACTCAGAGAATGACACATCTCAACAATCGCCGCTTTCAAATGAACAAATAATCTATAACATCCGAGGAGTAATCTATAAATCACTCTGTGATTATTGAGATAATCCAGGAGATATTGGGCTAATTGCTACCTTACTAGATCCATGATTGAAGTTAATGAGCGCATGGTCAAATGTAACAAGAGATGATACAATTAAGTTGGTACGTACTGAATTCAAGGCTCTACAGTCCAATGAAGTGGCTAAACCTATGGAAACATCACATTCTCCATCAACACCTTCTTTTATGAGAAGAATTCTTAATAAAAATCAAGGCCAAATTAATCGAGAAATTGAAATTGCCAATTATTTGAACGAATCCGTTACCCCAGTTCTAAATATAGATCACAATGTTTATAGTTGGTGGCGTATTAAAAAAGACTCATTTCCTATTTTAAGCAAAATTGCGCGTAAGTATTTGTCAATTTCTGCAACCTCTGTTCTGAGCGAATGCCTTTTTCGGATGCAGGAAATCATATTACTCCTAAAAGAAATCGGCTATCGCCTGAAATAGTTAGTAAATTATTATTTGTTAAACGGAATAGTAAATACTGTAATGTTTGGAATTGATAAATATAGTAGAATACGTATTATATAAATTATTGGGATTTTTTGAAAGAACGTTTGAGCTAAAATAGAAAAAAAAATTATATCTATTAATGCGATCATTTATGATTATTATTTGTTAACTATTCATATTAAAATAAATTATACAAGTTTCTATATATTACCTTAATTTTTGAGTTTTTCTAAATTCAAAGAACTAGTAGAACGTATTCAACTTAACATTAGCCAGAAAAATCTAGTAATCTAACATTTATAATAGCTTAAAGCTTCGACCTACTGGATTCACAATCTATATTTCATAATAGCTTAAATCTTTGTTCTATATCTTAAACCTTCTTTGATCTTTTTCGATCTACTTGGATTTAAAAGTTATAGTACTCGAGTATCAACCCGGGTCATAGGAGGAAGATCGTCTGATTGGCTAATGCAAATCAATTGCCTGGGTAACTTAAAGTACTTTTCGATAACGTGATGTTTCACTAATAAAAAATTGCCACAAAAGTCACTTCTACCTTTAAACGAACGTTAATATTCACTGTGCAAAAGCATCTCAAAATCATCTTAATCTCGACGAACTTTGCTTAGAAGATAAAATATACCTACAGTTTATTGGACGATCTTGAATTATACTAAAAATAAAGATAAGTGGGAACGTTTTTGTTCAAGACTGTCTTATTACGTTAAATTTTTAAAAAAACTCTAATTACTAACTATTGAGTTTGAATAAGAATAGGTTTATTGTAAAAGAAGTTCCGAGTTTAATACTTGAATATGTTTTGGTTCTTGCATTGTGTTTGGGTCCGTCAGCCGTAATAAGTTTTGGTTTATAGATTGTACTGTAGATTGTATTAATCGAGTTTGGGTTTATTAAAATGAATTCCGCCTTTACTTCACATTACATGTATCTATATTATGTCCTCTATATATTTAAAATGAATTAATTCTTTTATATATTAATTTATAATCTTCGTACGAAGTTTCTTTTGCTTTCTGGTAATATTAAAGCGATGAATTTTTTAAAATTATGTAATTTGATTGGCTAATTGTCACGGGTGATCACGGGTAGATCCATAAAAATTAGCCAATCAGACGATCTTCCTCCTATGAGTACATAGTGGCTAGGAACCGGTTTTCAAACTGGTTTGGGGCGCATAGATGCACTCGGTTTGCACCACCATGAGAACTCTCTCCTTAATAACAAAATTATGTTTTTCAAAATTTGAGTAATCATATCTCGATAACTACCTATCTAAAATCGATTTACAGAATTAAAATAAAACTTTTTTTTTTATCAATTCTAGTAGGCAGTTATCGAGATATAATCACTCAAAGTACAAAAAAAATTTTGTGCGATTATCAAATCGAAGACCGCAAATAAGCTTTCTTCAAACTTTGAGCGAGGATATCTCGATAACTACTTAATTAAAATCAACGAAATTTTTTTATATTAATTATATGGATTAATAAAATTAAGATAAAAAAATAATTTATCAGTTTTAGTAAAATAGTTATTGAGATATCATCGTTCAAATTTTGGAGAAAACTTAGCAGCGGTCTTTGAAAATCGCAATTTTTTTTTGAAAAGCTTGGATAAACTTAATCACGATCATTTTTATAGTCGCCTAAAATTTTGGGGGTCGCTGTATGAGTTCCACCATGAGTGTAGTACGTCTATTATAAAATCTTGATTCGCAGTATATTAGATTTTGAATTTTATTTGAAAGGTCAGAAGCTAATTGACAGTAAATTTTTTATTTTATTTATAATTTCTTGTTATCTATCGTTACGCGAAAAGTCGATAAATTCATTCATAATTGCTAATGCGAGTACTGTACAACATTTTTGATAATTTAATGGTATTAAAAATTTTATAATTATGTTAGCTTATAATTTAAAGTAGAGCTATCACAATAACTTTGCGATCTTTAAATTGAGCATAATAGTCACATTTACTACGAGGTGAAATAGCCACCACAAAAAATTTTTCAAAAGCCATGTGGTACACTTGATTAATAATTGTAATGCAATAGATTATAAAATTTAATCGTGTAATTGTTTTCATTATATTATAGTTATATCAAACCATATATTAAATGACTTTGAGGTTAATAAATAAAAATATTAATGTTCGAGCTGTAAAAGGCTGCAAGCCAAAATTATAATTGTAGATAGTGATGGGACTAGAAGTGCTAAAAATTAAATGTCATACGCGTGATCTATTAAAAAATTTTGATCCTTAATAAATTATTAAATGTGACAATTAAGTATCACCCCATCACTGATTGTAGATCAAAAGAGTATAATATCTCCGTATTTGTACAAATATTTTCATTATGATATGGAACATGCAAATTCTGTGATCGAAGCGGATCACTAGTGACAATAATAAATTAACATAGTATTTGTTTAATAAATTACTACATAGTATTTTGTTTAGCAAAGCATAATAAATTAAAATAGTTTATTATTATATTTATATAAAAATTTGTTTTTTTTGGAGACATAATATTATTATAACAATGACTTCATATATTAAGCAAATATTTAGGCCAGACAAATTGTGGTTTACATTACCCTTCTCTATTAGTAAAAAATTTTCGGGATATACATATCCACCGATTTGATTTTTAGGGGTCTTTTTTCGATAAACTGTTACACGAACTTTTACCATTAAGTGACATGAAGAATAACAAACGAAACATTCATTAAAATGTTTTTTTAGCCTCTATATGAGATAAATAAGCAATAAATACTAAAAAAACTGCTATTCTAAGCCGTAAAGAAAGCACTATCACAAAGTTGTTGTAACGTTAGGTAGTGAACGATCGGTTTGTCATTGTTTATCGGTTGTATAATGAGTAAGGGTGAATTCGGAAACAATTTTTGGAAAAACGGCCTTTTTAACTTAATTTCACCTAATAATTAAACATGTAGATATTGCAAGATCCATATGGGCGAAAATCTCCAATTTCGTGATGATTTAGTGTGAGTGATTAGGTTAAATAAAATTTGAACCAATCATTTATGTGATGTGCCATGATTATTGAGAATAAAAATGATTTTTTGATCAGAGATTATAAGCCTCGATAATGAATCGCTTATGAATTCTTATGAATTTTACTCATAAATTTGTACCTGATTGTAACCTGATGCTTATAAATTTTTGTATGTATGTACCTAATTGTGACCTAATTGCTTATAAATTTTATACTGTATGTACCTGATTAAAATTTTTTGTACGATATGCCTGATTGTAACCTGATTACTTGCAAATTTTTTGTACGTATGTACCTGATTGTAACCTAATACTTATAAATATGTACGTGCATGATTATAATATCATCTAATTTTTAATAATCACTATGTTTCAACTGGAGATTTTCGCCCATATGCTATACTTAATTATGGATTCAAAGTAAGTTTAAAAAACGTTTTTGTAAAAACTTACTCTGTAATAAATTTTAACTACAAATAATTCTCAATCATGAATGGCTAATTTTGGGGTCAAACCAAATCGTCGATATGACATATATGATTTTGGCCGGAGAGTTAATGCCGGCGGAATTAAGATTAGAACCGAAAATTTCGAAAGAAAATGAACGAACATAAAAGACAAGCAAGGTCAGGCCGATAATTTCTGATTGAAAAAAATTTAATAAAATTTACTATGTATACGTTCAATTTCCCTCCCTCTGGATGTAATACGTATAAACTAGGGATGGCAACGGTCGGTCATTTTCGCTTAGCCGACCGGATAAGCCGCGGCTGGCCGCGGCTAACTCGTGATCCATGATCCAAATTGGATGATTCGAATCGTCTTAATGAGACGATTCGAATGGTACAAAATAATCCAATTTGGACTAATGGATCGCGAGATACAGCTAACGGCTACAAAACAGCTAGCCGAAAATGACCGACCGTGGCCATCCCTGTATAAACTACCAAATCACGCTGGTCTTGCCTTATAGTTACAGAAAGCAGATAGCTCAGAAATAGCAACAAACACTTTCAACAGTTTTCAAGCTTTAGAATTAGCTATAATCTCACTGTAAAGATCTTTGTTGAAGCAAATATTCTTCTAATCTCTAATTCTAACACTATTATTAATTAAAATTATTATTATTTGCTGTATTTTTAATACAATTTATACAATATTTCAAATATCTGAATAAAATTAGTAAAAGTTTGATTTTATAATTTATTAATAAAACTATAAAAAATATTATGATTCTTAAATTTTAAAAATAAATTCTATTTTTATGCTTAAAATATATTATATCAGTAAATTTTATATTTTTTAAATTTTAAAAAATTACTTAATTTTATACAG